TTCAGAAACCTTGAACAATCTTCTTCTACTTCTACCTCTATCTCAGCTTCTATCTCAGCTTCTATATCTACTAGCCCCCCCCCCCCCCCCCAAGCCCTCTCCTTCAAAGCAAGCTCATTAGCTCACGCCACCTGGCAATCCCTGATAGCAAGCTCATTACCCAATTAGCTCACGCCACCTGGCGATCCTGGATAGGTCACAGCTGGAGGAGGCACACCAGATCCACTAAGCGCTTCCAAATAAGGCTTGTTTACAGCTAAGTTCAATCTCCCTGGCATCCAGCCAGGTGCCATCTTGGGGCTGTGGCTCCCCACAAAATGCATTAAAAGTGAGGTAACCAAATCATATACCACACTTTAACCAACTCCTAACATGTCCTTCTTCCAGCCCATGGCATCCTTTAGGCCCTCCATTAGGCAGAGGCCACTCTAAGACTTGGACCAGTAAATCCAAGCCTTTCTGCTCCCAGACTGATTAGCAGAAATTAGCTAGAAGTGACCATCAATGCTGCCTAAAAAAATAAAAAGGCTGGGATTTTAGGCTCACCTAAGTCCCTGACCAAGATGAAACTAGCCCCTTCAGGGAAATAAAATTGTCCATTCTTCATGTTGGGAATTTGACCCAAGAGCACCATATCCTATTACCTTACTGCCACAGCATCCTGTTATATTAACGATTAGAGGTCACGTTACATTGTTTCTGTTTACCATAGTTTCTTTTTTTTTGTAGCAGACCCCTTCCCCCTAAATGCTCTTCAGCCAGTCTCCTTCCCAATTTAAACCATCCAATAAACACTTCAATTCTTTTTGTCAGTGCTGCTCACCATTCTCTCAGAGACATCCTGGCAGTTTGCAGTTTGTACCTCAACAAAGTTTCATTATTTGGCATCAGTGCAGAGCTTCTGATCTCACACTCCTATACACCATACACACATTTAATTAGAAGAGCAATGTTCCCCAAATTATCCTTTTCCTAATCCCGCAATTTTGCATGAGTTAAATTAAATAGTAAATCTGACTTTGCAGATATGATTAAACACCTTGAGATGGAGAGACTTTTCTGAATCAAAAGGTGATCTCACTCCATCATGGGGTTCCTCAATAGAGAAGCAAAGGCATCAGAAAAAGTAACTTTTAGTACAGTAAGGTCTCTTCTGAACCTCTGACCTTCAGAACTGTATTAGAGATTTATGTTGTTATTTTTCTATGTCTATTTGCATATTTTTAAGATTTATTTTTTCATTTTTCACCTGTATGAATGTTTAAGTGCATGTGTGTATGTGCACCATTTGCATATCTAGTGCCTGCAGAGGTCAGAAGATGGCATTGGATCCCCTGGAATTTGATTTAAGGATTGTTGGAAACACCATGGGGTGTTGGGAACCATATGTGTGTCCTCTGCAAGAGCAGCTAAGTGATCTTAGGCTGCTGAGCAATCTCTCCAGTCCCTAGTGAAATTTTGAACTATTATAAATCTGGGTTTGTTTTGTTGGTGTAGTTTGTCTTTTGGAGACAGAGTCTCTGTGGTAGCACTAGCTGTCCTGGAACTTGTTATGCAGTCCAGGGCAGCCCCTAACTCACAGAGATATTTCTGCTTCTGCTCCTCTGGTGCTGAGATTAAATGTCTGCATCATTAAAAACAGCCTATAAAACTTCTATAGTAGGACTTTGTATATATCCTGAAATTCATCCAATAGCTCCATCTAAGCAATGCTGGCAAGAGAGAACAATGTGTCCCTGAAGGTGCCTAGGTGCTGTATCTCAGTGCATTGCCTCGCAGGACAGAAGCATTCATACTGTTTACCACCAGCAAGGAGCACAGGAAACTCACATTTCATTTCCTTCAATTACTGGTGAGTTGTAGTGACTGTGACAAGATGGTTTGAACAGCTGTCACCTGTGGGTGGCAGCAGTGTCACTAGGAGGTTACAGCCTAGTGAAGACCATAGCTCTTCTTTTCATTTTCATCTCCAGCATGCAATATTGGAAGACAAACACGTTACAGCTTTACCAGGAGTGGTAAAATATATTCATGGATAAGCTTGTCAGTAACACTGTCATTTTTAGACTCATTCTTAGACCCTGTCCCTGGGACTACAAAATTTATCAAGGTACTAGCTTATAAATAGAGTAATATAAACCTTCTTAGTCTGTCATTCAGAAGACAGTTTTTATAGGAGTATTAATCAGGCTGTTCAGAATGTCAATAAAATTGGTTTCCTTGGATTAACATTTGCAATGTTGAAGTTTCCTTGAATCATTACATCCTGCAGGGAAGCTATAAAGCTAGAAAGTAAACAACTCAAAACAGCCCTGAACCTGACCAGATTCACTAGACAACTCCCTTCCCAAGAGTGTTTATGTAGTAAGGACTGCCGAGAGTCACAGTCAGACAAGCCCAGTTGTCTGGAGGAAGCAGAGATAACAGAATTATTTGGAAGGATGATGGAGCAACTGTGCCACCATCAAAGGAACTATGGTTGTCTAAATGACAAAGGCCCCCACAGGCTCATATATTTGAATGTTTGATCCTCAGTTGATAGAAATTTGCAGAAGGATCAAGTGGTATCAACTTGTTAGAGTATGTATAAATTATTGAAAGGGCTGTGGCCTTGTTGGATGTGGTGTGTCACTGGAGTTGGGGGGCTTATTAAGCCTACCCCAATCCCAGTTAACTCTCTTGCTCTGTGATTGTTTTCTCATCTTGTAAGCTCTTCAGACTCTGCTCCAATATCATGCCCGTCTGCCTGTTGCTACACTCCTTACCTAGATGGTCATAGACTCATCCTCTGAAACTGTAACCAAATCCCAATTAACTCTCTACTGAAATTTGACTTGGTCATGGAATCTCTTCCCACTTCCCCTACCCCCCCCCAAAAAAAAACAAAACAGAAGAAAATAACTGGACTTCCTGAAGGCTTTGCAGTGTCCCATGGTTCTAGTTTTTGTGAGCATCACCCATGGGTTTTGGTGATGTATTGCATCTGTCTTTGAGTCATTTCTGTGCTGGTTACTAACAGCTCACCCATATTTCTCTAAGTAACCACCACCTCTGATCAAGACATAGCCCTTGGCAATAGCCCAGGGCCATGCATCGCCTTGCACTGGGGTGGCTAGCAGGCCATTCATATCAGCCTGTTCCTTACTGTCCTCACCTCTTCAGATCTGCCTATTTTCCCAGTTCATGAACCATTCTGTTCCTCTCCCTTTTCCATCTCACCAGCCTGTACTCAGTCACTATAGTGGGTCCAACCATCTGGTGGAGTCACTGGAGATGCTTGGTTAAATCCTGCCATCCCCAGACACAGGGCATGGTACAGAGCTGTTGTTTCTTCTCATGTGTGCTGGGGCCTAGCTGCAACTAATAATATATGTAACCTAACATGGAATTCCACAGTAACTGTCATGAGGACATACCTTCTTTACATACATGACTTGAACACTTCTGTGTTTGACAGAGTATGCTGTTTTCTGAGAATACAAAAGTGAATTACATATAGGACTATCTTACTTGTTTACTGGGAATAAAATGGATTGCAAATCAAAAAGGGCTAAATGAAGAAGGAGCTTCACTGAGAAAAGTATTTTCCTGAATGGAATATGCTTGTATTTATCTAAGAAATTAAAACACAGTCTAGGCTGACTGGTAGGGTCACATGCCTATAAACCCAGCACTTAGGCGGCAGAGGCAAGCAGATCTGAGTTCAAAACCAAATGGTTTATAAAGAAGGTTCAGGGCATCCAAGGCTACACAGAGGAATCCTGTCTTGAAAAACAAACAAACAAAGAACCAAACAATTGAAAGAACGAAAGAAAAAATACAAACTCAAAATAAGCAGTCTTATACACATAGCACAAGTTTGAAGGTCACAGGACAAGTTAGTGTGGATAGTTTTCAGTTTCCAACCTGGTGTTAAACTCAGGTTATAAGACTTAGTGGCGGGTGCCTTTACCTACAGAGACACATTACTGGCCATGAACAAATACTTTAATAAAGAATAAATGTACATCTTCTGTAGTAATGCATAGCTCTATTTCAGCTGTCTCCAGATTAGGATTATAAAACAGCCTTTCCACAAAACTAAATTTACAGAAAGCGTTGGTAATAAACATCAGTAGTACAGTGTTTGCCCAGCATCAGTGAGAAGGTTCAATTCAAATGCCAATCAAGTAGGAAGACAGAGTTAACAGAAGAGATACCTGTGACCTGTTATTTCATCCTTTTTGGGACTCATCAGTACAGTGTAGCATATGATCAAAAAGTTTTAAATGTTTTGCTCCTAAAGTCAGACACTTTTAAATGGTTGCTTTGAAAAAGGTTCAGTAATTAACTGTCTCCTGATCTGAAAAGAGCCTAATAAAGAATAAAATTCAAATGGCATACTTATATATGAAACTGTCAAAAAAGTTAAATTAGGAAAATAAAATGACATTTGCTTATCACATATCCTTAGTCCATTTAAGTTTTAAAAAGTAAAGTGTAAACATTTTTTGACAATGGTATTGAGTCAGAGTGTTCAGCATTGGTTTTAATCCTGTCTATATTGCCCTTTACATTAGTCATTGAATTTTGCCAACAGAGTGATGGCAATATTTGCGAAGAATTTGCAGACAGCAGATCACTTACGATTATCGAATCATTCCCATGATTTCTGTCACCCTACATTTTTAGTTTCCATGACTTTAAAGCAAGGACCAATGGAAAAAAATTCAGGTAGGGTCATAAAGGTGGATCTTACTAATATGAATATGACTGTACTTTAGGTTTATATATGAGTACTAGCTCATACCCAAACACCTATTTAATTTACAATCATCTGTGTTCTCCCAAGTTCCTGCATCTGTGATGCTCTAAGTGAGTTTTCTACTTCTGTGTCAACACATATTATTGATGGATTTTGATGATAATTTTAGCAGATCAGATTGGAGCAGCAACTGTAGATAACAGGTCACAGAGTATCTGTTTGTCACCAATGCTTTGGTACAATCCCTATACTCGATTTAAAATCTTTGGACCTGTGAAACATGTTTGTTGAACTTGCTACAAATCCACTTCCTGGGTGCATGCTCCCTTGCACTGCTGATCCCCATGTCACTCAGGTAGCCACATTCTCCTTTTCCTCGGATGGGAACCCTGAAGCAAACCAAGAAACAAATGAAAAACTTCTGTATAGACCAACATTATATTCAAACACCTGAACTAGTTTTGCACCTACCACCTTTTACATGCTCAGATTTCAATTTGAGAAACACATCTTTAGAATTTGTCAGTGTTGACCCTGTAAAGTGTGTACAATGCTTTTGACTGGTCCTTGCTGCCATGTTCAAATGGCCTGCTGCCATGTGAGACTTCACAGAGGGTGATTTTTAATCCTATCCTGAAGCATTTTACACATGTATAAAGGTGGGAAAAATCCCAATTCTTAGTAAAATTCTGAAAGATCTTTAAGGATCACATGACTGGGTCTGTGTTTATGGTTCCAGTGAATGGCTCCATTCTAAATGGCTCTTCTCATTTCCAAGAGCTATAGTGATATACTATTTATGATTTATTAAATCTTACCTGAGGATTCAGAATGCAAAGGCAACCACAAGCCATAGAAGCCAGGCACACACTTTTAATCTCAGCAGCCAGAAGCTAGGAGGTGGTACTACACACCTTTAATCCTACTACTCAGGATTAAGAGGTAAACAGATTTTTCTGAGTTCAAGGCTGCCCATCCCTTTAATTCCAGAACTAGAGGGTTATAAAAGATAGAAGCAGGGTCTGCAGTAGTCAGCAGAAGGCATTCATTCTCCAGTCACACTGAAAATATAGACATTTATTCTCCAGTCACACTAAAGATAGGCATTCATTCTCCAGCCACGCTGAGGAGAGTTACAAACTGAGAGCTCTTGGAGACAGGGTCAGCCCATTCAGTCTGAGATAGAAGTAAGAATCTAGTGGCCTCTGCTTTGCTTCTCTGATCATCAGCTTGAAATTTGAACCTCAATATCTGTCTCTGGGTCTTTTATTTTTCATGTTACAAAGAGTTGTGTCAGTGTTCCTTGATGAGACTTAGAGGAGGTTCCCAATGCCCCAGGAGTCTTTGCTTCTGTGACAGGTGCAGCTATGCACACAGCGAATGGGCAATTCCTACACTGGGAGTTCTGCAGTGGCTTCCAGGGGTTTCGGAGCCATCACTGCCCATCCTAGGCTCTGTCTACATCTGATAAGTGTTTTCAATTGGTGATGGAGCAGACCACATCTACCCCAGATGCCATCATCATGCTAGAGATTCAAGTGAAAGCACACTAAGTAAACACTTTGGAAATGATAACCAATAAGTGGGAGAACATCCAAAGGATTTAAAATTTTAAGGATGTGGAGTTTGCTGGGAATTGCCTCTGCATATAAGTACACAACCTGCCTCTGAGCTCCAACTCCACTTGGAAGGTTTAGGTTGCTTCCTTCACAGTATAGTGGTTTCAAATGACACAGCCATTAATCTCTTATACACACACACACACACACACACACACAGAGAGAGAGAGAGAGAGAGAGAGAGAGAGAGAGGAGCACAGTAGAAAGAAAGCATTCTGAAAACATACAAGTTGTTATATTCAGTGTTGTCTGTCCACATCCAAGTGTGTTCTGATGACTCTCTGTGAAGGCCGATCCAATGGTCAGAAGCCCCCTTGTATCTCCTCAGGAAATTCTGCCGTAAAAAAGCAGAAAAAAAATGTGTCTCTCAGCTTCAGATGACCATTGAGTGTGTCCAACCTACAGCTGAGGGTCGTTGATTTTGGTTCCATGATAACCCTCAGTTCTCAGTGGATGCATTTTACATGCATAAACCTAAGTACACTGATGACCAGCATCCCACTGCAGCTGATTAAGATTGTCCTTGGAGTTTTTTTTTTTTTTAACAGATACCAGGTTTTGTATACAACATGTAAATTCTCAGAGGAAGAAGTACATGACCACCAGGTAACATAGTAGATTGTATGTTTCCCCTTTCATGTTTTACTATGAACACTACATGAGAGCATGACTCTGGAATGTCTCATGTCTCCACCCAGAAGCAGTAACATTAGCAAATGGTGTGTATTAATGTGCTCCCCATATGCCCCACACACCCCATCTGCCTGGAGTGGGCTCTTCCTCACGCTTCAGCTTTAAGGTCTCCATCTCATGGCAATACACATTCAATAAAACAAACAACAAACCAATCCTGACCATTTCTTACCAGCTCCTCTAGGCTCTCAAATACAGCTAGATGGGCCTCTAGTTCCAAACAGGCGGTCTGGCTGAATGCCCAGTTTCTCATGTCTTCAGAAAAATAAAAACATTTACTTCCTAATCCAATCCAGTCTCTTGGGCAGGTGGCATAGTTGTCAGTGACCAGTCTTTCTAAAATGTAAGCAGTGGTTATGATATATAATAAGAACATTTCCATGTCTGGTCCCTTTGGCTAGCATCTAAATCTCAATGGTGGGATGTACTTGGACTACACTTTCATAACTGATCTCTAGGAGAAGCCTCCTAGCATGGTGGTCCCCAATCCAGGGCCTTCCAGTGAGCTCTAATGAAGTGGTTTGTTTCTCTTCTTTGTGTTTTGTAACAGAATCTCTCTATGTCCCCATGAAACAGATCTCACACTGTGGCCAGGACTTTTCTGGATCTTGTAGTAATCTTGCTGGCTGTGGCTCCTGAGTGCTAGGACAAAAGACACTGTACCCTTTGAGCAAATGATTTCTAGGCCATCAGCTCCTTACAAATAAATGTGCCTGTGTCCTGGAATCCTGTAGATTCCTTTCCCATAATCCTCCTTCACGTCTGCCTTTTATTTTGACTAGAGAAAGTAAACTCCTCACTTGTCTAGGTTTAATTATAGAGAAATTCCAGCCTGCAAAGCATGGCAGGTTCAAAATAGCTCTTAAATGTGAGAATTATAATCACGGGCTCCCAATATTCTATCACACACACATGAAATGTATACAATCACATGCTGGTTCTTATTAGAGTCAGTCAGATTAACTGTCATTAAGATATCTGACAAACAATGCTGGGTAGTGTTCAGGCTTGATTTTAATGCTAGTACTTGGGAGGCAGAGGCAGCCAGATCTCTGTGAGTCTAAAGACACCTTGTTTAGAAGCATGTGCAGACATAGGCACACTTAGTTACTGGTGGTAAACTGATACAGCCAGTATGGACGTTCCTCAGAAAATGTAAAAATAAACTTGCCATGTGACCCAGTCTGTTACTCTTGAGTATGTAAGAAGAGAATTCCACATCCTACCACAGAGATACTTGTACATCCATGGTTATTGTTTCCTTATTTACAATAGTTAGGAAATGGTCCTGACCTAGATGTCCATCTACTGATGAACAGATAGTGAAAGTGTGCTACATGTACAAAACAGAATGTTTTTCAGCTGTAAATGAAAAACAAAATTTGCAGGAAAGTGTGTGGCCTTGGAAAGTATTATATTGAGTGAGGTCACACAAACTCAGAAAGAAAGAGACTTATGTACTCTCTCACAAGCAATCCCAGCCTACGGTGTACAGTGTAAACCACTGTGAGCATGGGCCTGGTGTAACACATAGGAATGAGAACAAGGAGAGATGTAAGGTGATAGGAAGGAAGGGTGCTTCCAAGGGCCCACAAGTTGCAAATAAAAGTTATAAATAACATTGCTTTCCTAGTTTTAACTCTCCATATTTTCTTTCTTTTCTGTGGCAGATAAGTGAATAAAAATGTGATTGACAGTGAAGGTCTAAAGCCATAACCAAATCTCCCTGGCTTCAGAAAAGTCTATTTTAACTGGTTGGAAGTTCCAGGAGATTCATAGAGTTTGGGACTTGACAAATGTTGGAGTGGCTATGCTAATGGAGCTGTGTGATGTGTTCACTTATGACTCTATTACAATAAAGTGGTGTGTGTGTGTGCACATGTGTGTGTGTGCATGTGTGTGTGTATGTCTGTGTGTGTGTGTGTGTCTGTGTGTGTGTGTGTGTGCACGCGTGCATAAATATGTGGGTGAGAAGTTCTGAATGCAGCAAGGGTTCAGAGCACAGCTTAGAAGAATAAGAGACATTTTCTTTCATCCCTTCACCTTTTTCTTCCTTCAGCAGGTCAGAAGGAAACTGCTGCTGTTTCAATGCTCTACTGAGTCCTAGAAACAAATGATTTGATTAGAAATATTAAATACCCCAAAAGACTCCCCAGTCATTTTTAGTGGATGAGAATTTCTTGTGGTTGTTCCAGTTCATGTATCCACTACCATGAGGCTTCAATGAAAGAGACAAATGCAATGGGCAGTATCAGTGACTGTCCCTTCTTTTTATCTGAATCTTCGGAGTATATAATAGTTTAGGTTACGCTGACTAAGACTTGTTGTAGATGCTTGTCCTGTTTAGACATGTGTGTATTATTCCTTGGCATGACTAAAGTTGATTTTATAAAATGTTGGGTGGTGGTAATGTGTAGGGGGAGCTGTAGCCACGCCTACTTAGGGGCTGGCTACGGGTGTGCCTGACCACGCTTTCGAGGGCGTGGTCAGGGTGACGTAGAGTGAGACTTTTAGGGGACAGTGTTTCTCTTTCGGTTTTACTTTTGTACTTGCTGGACAGACTGCTGCCGTGCCGGCTGGCTAGGTTGCTCTGTAAGTAAGGCTTTTCCCTATTAAATACCCTTATATTTCTACTTGGCTCCATATTAATAATTTCCCACTATAGTAGTGCACACCTTTAATGCCAGCAATTGGGAGGAAGAAACAGTTAGATTCTCAAGTTCAAGGCCAGTTGGTCCATATAGTGAGTTTCTTTTCTTTCATTTTTTCTTTCTTTCTTTCTTTCTTTCTTTCTTTCTTTTTTTTTTTTTGGTTTTTCAATACAGGGTTTCTCTGTGTAGCTTTGGAGCCTATCCTGGCACTCTCTCTGTAGACCAGGCTGGCCTTGAACTCACAGAGATCCGCCTGCCTCTGCCTCCCAAGTGCTGGGATTAAAGGTGTGCACCACAAACATCCGGCTATATAGTGAATTTCAAGACAGCCAGCACAACATACAGAGACCCCGTCTAAGAAAACCAATATATCTATATCCATATCTATATTTATATCTATCTATATCTATATCTATATCTATCTATCTATCTATCTATCTATCTATCTATCATTTTAATGGACAAATTTCCTTCAGGTATGCAGCCAAGTTGTACAATATTTTAACACAGTATTCAGAACAGTCTACATCTAAAACCTTAGAAATCACATCTGCTGGAACTTTCTATTGAATATTGTCAGACCATGGTTGAAGATGCTAACTGAAACCATGGGTCATGGGTGGGGCTTCTATACCTTCCTCTACCTTATTAGTCTTCAGTGTTCTCACTTCCCTTAGCTGTAGCAATCTCCTTGACAGTCTCTTCCAAGTTTTTCTCTCCTTTTTCTCTGTGTTGAATTGTTCTTCCAGGTGGACATATGTCTCCTGCATCTCCATTTAGATGTTGCTGAATGCCATCTTCCCAGGGATGCTGAGACTGGCCTCCTGTGCACACCACAGCCTGTGCTGTCCTTCAAGCATTCTTCCTGCTAGACCCTAAGTTCCCAGAGAACAGGAATTTCCAGTCTGTTTTCTCTCCAGCCCTTCACACAGTGCCTGACTCACAGTGGTAATGAAGCGTTTGCTGACAACATACAGGTGTAGAAAATGCTGCACAATTTGTAGAACAAGTCACTCACCTGATGATGACAAAGCAACAGAAAGTGAAATTACAGCTGCAGAGAGGACCATGATCACGCCATAACAGCAGTAAAGCTTAACAGGAGACTCAGTGAAGATGATTCTCAGACATTTTCCTTGGAGCTTTTTACCTGAATATATAAATATCAGAACATCTACTTCAAGATCCTGCAAGAAAAGGTAACAGTGACCAAGAAATGGGTAAGGGTGTCTATTCAATATTCTAGTGTGACTCTGGAGGTGCTAGCCAGGACAATAGGGCAAGAATAATAAAAACAATCAGGCTTCATAGAGATAAAAGTCTTGGTATTCAGAAAACATGGATATATCTACACATAAAATTCTATGAGTATTAAAATGGCTCTAAAAATAATGAAAGTGTTTACGATGTTGCAGGAAAATATTTCAATTGGCAAAATAAATTCCATTTTCAGCTCAAATATCTCTAAGCTTGTACCAAAGGAAATCAATGTTATTCAGCACTGGAGAAAATGATTGAAAAAGGAACCCTGGACACCATGCTTGCACCTGCCCATATCTTATGCTGGTTAAATGATCCTCAGCCTGCTTTTCCCAAAGGTCCCTAAGTTTGGCCATACACACCAAAGTAAATTAAACAAATGTGTCCCATACCAACCTACAAAAAAAAAACAAGAATCTTATTCCAGGCTTTTGTAATTAATTCATTATTCATTTATCTTGCCTAAAAATACTTGAATATTATGTACTCTGGCAGAGTAGCTAATATAACAGAGCCTCCTCCAATCTCCACTTCTGCAGAGACGCTCTGTGACAGACTAACAGGCTGGTTTTTCAGCTCCTCTGTGGGTCCCAGGTGAGTCTTATCTCTGTCTTTTATTTTGAATCAAATTTGATTAACATACATACCTATTTCTACATCTTGCAGGCTGTCTGTAGTAATGAGATCAGGTGTTAGCAAGCCCATGGAAGCCTCTTCAATCTTTACAGCACTCATTTCTGGGCTAAGAGGAAGAGACTCAACAGAGTTCAGGAGGACAGGGACAAAATCCCTTGTGTTCTGAATGCTGTTCCTAATAAGCACTTTACAAGCTCACAGCCCATCTGGGTGACTCATTAACCACTCCTTATCAGTCCTGAATATGTCACCTCTCAGCAAATAGAATTATATAATTAAGGAGTAGGCTGTGGCCATGGTCTGGACCAGTCCATGTCCACAGGACACTACAAGTACAGAATACTCTAAGAGTCACATCCTTTCCACCTTTCTCTGTACACCAGTTTTGTTTTTCCGTTTTTAAATTTTTTATTTCATTTTACATTACAACCACAGTTCTCCCTCCCACCCCTCCTCCCAACCCTTCCCCACTTCCCATATTCCCTCACCTCGCACTAACCTACACCCAGTCCACTCTCCTCACAGATAAGGGCTCCCCCAAGAGGACTCAACACAGTTTGGTACAATAGGTTAGGGCAGGGCCAGTCCCCTCTCCCATCATTAAGACTTAAGATGGCAGGGGAAAAGGACAAGATCTCTTAAGCTAATGGGGATCATAGGGAAGGGGAGAGGGAGTTAGAAGAAAGAGAAGGGGAGAAGGGAGGGGAGAAGAGGACATGAGGGAGCAGGAAGATCTAGTCAGGAGAGGAATGGAGGAGAGCAAGAAAGGGGATACCATCATAGAGGGAGCCATTATTGGTTTAAAGAGAATTCTGACACTAGGGAAAGGTCCAGAGACCTACAAGGTTGACCACAATTAACAATCTAAGCAATAGTTGAGAGGCTACCTTAAATGCTTTTACCCTATAATGAGATTGATGACTACCTTGTATGCCACCCTAGTGCCTTCATTCAGTAACTGATGGAAGTAGAAACCGACACCCACAGCTAAACACTGAGCTGAACTCTGGATTCCAGTTGCAGAGAGGGAGGAGTGATGAGAAAAGGGGGGAAACCCACAGAAACAGCTGACCTGAACAAAGGGGAGCTCATGGACCCCAGACTGATGGCTGGGAAACCAGCATAGGACTGTTCCAGATGCCCTGAAGGAGGAAGTCAGTTTGGAGTTCTGATTAATCTATGGGGCCTCTGGTAGTGGATCAGTATTTACCCCTAGCACACAAATGAACTTTGGGAGCCCTCTCCAAATAGGGGGATACTCTCTCAGCCTAGACACACTGGAGAGGGCCTAGACCCTGATATGACAGACCTTGAAGATTCCCCCATGGAAGCCCTCATCCTTCCCAGGGAGCAGAAAAGGGTTGGGATAGGGGGTCGGTGGGGAGGCAGGGGAGGAGGAGAGGCAACTGAGATTGACATGTAAAAGAAGCTTGTTTCTAATTTAAATTGAAACATAAATTATGAAAAAAAAGACATCCCACCATAGAGAATGGGATCCAAAAAGCTAGCTCATATACCAGGATTATATTATGGTCTTACTGCCTAGTCTAAGCATGGCATCTCACCCTAAGGAATGTGCTCCAACAAGCTAGCTCATGAATCAGGTTTGTATCTGGTCCCACTGCCAGGGGTCCCTCTGATAGTCCAAGGTTTGCAACTGTCTCCCACAGAAAAAAAGGGCCTAGTTCACTCCCGTGGAGTTTCCACAGTTATAGGTCTAGAGTCCATGAGTTTCCATGAGCTTGGTTCAGCTGTCTGTAGATTTCTCCTTTATGATCTTGACCTCCCTTGCTCACATGTTCCCCTTCCCTTTCTTCGCCTGGGTTTCCAGAGCTCAGTCTGGTTCTTGGTTGAGAATTTCTTCATCTGTTTCTATTAATTACTGGATGAGGGCTCTATGATAGTTGGGGTATTCATCAGTCTGGTTATAGGGGTAGGCCAGTTCACATCTTCTCTACTATTGTTAGGAGTCTTAGTTGGTTTTCTCCTTGTGGATTTTGGGAGTTACCCTAAGCCCATAGTTGCTCTCTCCATTAATATAGCTTTTCATTGCTCTTCCACTGCAGCCCTCCCCACCTAGTCCATCTCATTCCCTCCTGTTCTCATCCCCTCCCTTCCCCCTTACCACCTCCCTGCTCCCCGTTTACCCTGTAGATATCATCTAATTTCTCATTCCAAGAGTGATCCATGTGTTCCTCTTAGGGTCCTCACTGTTACCTAGCTTCTCTGGAGCTGTAGACTTTGGTTATCCTTTGCTTTATATCTAATTCCACTTATGTTTATCTTTCTGAGTCTGTGTTACCTCAATTGGGATTTTTTTCTAATGCCATCCACTTCCCTACAAATGTCATGAGGTCATCATTTTTACTGCTCTATTGTGTAAATGTACCACAGTGTCCTTATCCATTCTTTGGTTGAGGGGCATGTATGTTGTTTCCATGTACTGGATATTATGAATAATGCTGCTATGAGCATGTGGTATGATTGAGCTTCCTTTGGGTAAATGCCCAAGAGTGGTATCCCTGAGTCTTGAGGTAGATTGAATCCCAATTTTCTTAAAAAGTTTCATACTGATTTTCAAATGGCTGTACAAGTTTACACACCCACCAGCAGTGGAGGAGTGTTCCCCAGACTCATTACTTTTGACCTTAGCCATTCTGATAGGCATAAGATGTCATTTAGATTTGCATTTCCCTGATGATTAAGGGTGTTGAGCACTTCCTTAAATGTCGTTCTGCCATTTGAGGTTCTTCTGGTGAGAATTTTTTGTTTAACTCTGTATGTGGTCGATTTTAGAGAAGGTCCCATGTGATGCTGAAAAGAAGGTATTTTTTTGTGTGTGTGTTTGGATGGAAAGTTCTATAGATGAATGCTAATCTCAATTGGGTCATAACTTCTGTTAGTTCCTTTATCTCTTTGTTAAGTTTCTGTCTGGTGGTCCTGTCCAGTGGTGAGAGTGGGATGTTGATGTCTCCTACTATAACTGTGTGAGGCATTATTTGTGATTTGAGTTTTAATAATGTTTCTTTTACGAATGTTGTGCCTTTGTATTTGGGGCATAGATGTTTAGAATTGAGATTTCATCCTGATGGGTTTTCCCTGTGATGAATATGAAATGAATGGCCTTCTTCATCCCTTTTGATTGATTTTAGTTTGAAGTCTAATTTGTTAGATACAAGGATATCTACCTCATCTCACTCATTTCTTGTGTCCATTTGATTGGAGTATCTTATCCCAACCCTTTACTCTGAGGTAATGTCTGTCTTTGAAGTCGAGGTGTGTTTCTTGTATGCACCAGAAGGATGGATTCTGTCTTCATATCCACTCTGTTAGCCTGTGTCTTTTTATAGGCGATTTAAGACCATTAATATTGAGGAAAATTAAGGACCATTGAGTGCTTATTCTTGCTAGTTTCTGATTTGTTGTTGGTAGTGATATTGTATGTGGATTTACCCTGCTTTTTCTTTTGGGTTTTGGTAAAATGGGATTATCTATTACCTATGTTTTTGTGATTGTAGTTAATTTCCTTAGGTTGGATTTTTCCTTCCAGTACTTTCTGTAGGCTGGATTAGTAGTTACATATTGTTTAAGTATGGTTTTGTCATGGAATATCTTGTTTTCTCCACTTATAGTGATTGAAAGCTTTGCTGGGTATAGTAGTCTGGGCTGGCATCTGTGGTCTCTTAGAGTTGGTAGAATATCTATCCACATCCTCTGGATTTCAGAGATTCCATTGAGAAGTCTGGTGTAATTCTGATAGGTTTGCCTTTATATGTTACTTGGCCTTTTTCCTTTGTTGCTCTTAATATTCTTTCTTTATTCTGTACACTTGGTGTTTTAATTATTATGTGATGAGGGGACTTTATTTTGTGGTCCACTCTATCTGGTGCTCTGTAGGCTTCTTATACTTTCATTGGCATGTCTTTCTTTAGGTTGGGAAAGTTTTCATCTATTATTTTGTTGAATAGGTTTTCTGCACCTTTGAGTTGGGTTTCTTTGCCTTCTTCTATACCTGTTATCCTTAGGTTTGGTCTTTTCATGGTGTCCCATATTTCCTGGATATTTTCTCTTAAGGATTTTTTGGACTTAAGATTTTCTTTGCTTGATGAATTTATTTCCTTGAGTTTATCTTCAGCGTCTGAGATTCTGTCTTCCATCTCTTGTATTCTATTGGTTATGTTCGCATCTGTGGTTCCTGATTGTTTACTCAGCTTTTCCACTTCCAGCATTCCCTCAGTTTGTGTTTTCTTTATTGTCTCTATTTCAGTTTTCAGGTCCTGAACTGTTTCCTTCAGCTGTTTAATTGTATTTTCTTGGCTTTCCTTGTTTTCTTGCATCTTTTGGTTCGTCTTTTCTTCCATTTCTCTGGAGGATTGTCTGATTTCCTCTGTTAGGGTCTCTATCATCTGCATGAAGTTGTTTTTAATGTTACTCTCTTCTGCTTCATCTGTGTTGGGATGTTCATGTCTTGCTGGTATAGAGTCCCTAGATTCTGGTGGTGTTATGTTGGTTTTCCTGTTGTTGGATGTGTTCTTATATTGTCGTCTTTCCATCTTTGCTTCCAGTGGGTGTAGGTGGTGTCTTTTCCTTTCCTCGTGTGTATGGGCCCAAGGTTTTCTCCAGGGGTGTGCAATTGGCTCCAATACTCTGATGGGTCTCAAGGTGGGTGCAGCCGGGTTTTAGGCACTCACTCATCAGGTGTGTGAGAGGGGAACTAGGGTAGAGATATCATCAACTCTGGGTTGCTTGGTCCTCAGGGGCCGATTCAATCTGCATGCACACCCCAGGGCCGGAGTTCCTAGAGTGGGCAGGTGGAAGTTGGGACCAAGGCAGGGGCCGAAGCAGCTCATTTCTGCATTCTGCACTTTGCACTCTTCACTAGTTTTTTTATTTCTTTCTTCATTTTTTCCTTGACCAAGGGGTGGTTAGGTTGGGCATTATTCAGTTTCCATGAATTTGTTGACTTTCTAGAGTTTGTGTTGTTGTTGAATTCTAACTTTAAGCCTTGGTGATCTGATAATATAGAGGGTTGTTCCAATTTTTATGTATCTTCTGAGATTTGCTTTGTAACTGACTATTTGGTCAATTTTAGAGAAGGT